CACACACGTACTATACACGGAGCTAATAAATCATAGTTATTGTATTGTACACAAAATTGCATTTTCTTCGCGGTGTTTGCCGGTACTATAACTGTAGGCCTATTATCATTATTATTATCTTTATCGTTTTATTATTATACTTATAATTTATCGTTTTATAATGTCATTGCAAAAAAATAGATTCAATGAGGAGGAGCCGTCAACTGATGGTATTGTTACCACGACTGTCTTTCAAACTGTTGGTGAGGATTACAGTAAATGGAAGGAGCAGGATAATGTAAACGGTATGATTCTATAAATTAAAAAAAAACTTGATGTATAGGCCTACTTTTAATTTATTTCGACAACCCTCATATTAAAATATTTACAATAGGCCTAAATAGTTATTTTGATAATTCAATTTGATATTTTTTTTCGATAACTTCTTAATGCTGTGGCATACTTCTACCATGGAGAAAATAAAATATTTTATTTTCTCCATGCTTCTACAGAGATTGAACGAACTAAACAGGTACGCGAACACGCTATCGCTACAAATGTGGCAACGGCGTTTACAGAAAGTCCGCAAGACCAACCATCTGCATCAGAATCTGGTCCTACTGCTTCTACATCCTCATCTGATCGTGGAGGAAAAGCATCGGCATCTACGTCAAGAATTGATGTTGGAAGAACATCAGCTGCATCTATATCAGCAATTGATCCCAGAAAAAAGCCTTCTTTATTTCATAGGTTTATTCAACTATTTAAAGGTAGATTGTTATTAATGTTTATGACCTAGTTGTCCTCATGCACCTTGCCCTTTTTATAATCTCATTAATTTGTAAAGCCTATAATAACCATCTCTTTTGTTTGTGTTGTGTTAAATCCAGATTGCGTATTGATAATATTATATTGTTGAATGAATAATAAAGCTTGTATTTTGTGTACAATTATGGCAAGCAACGCTTACATATCTGATCCACTTACTGATTTTATCTTTATTAGAATTGAGAATATTGTCCCGAATTTTGGTTTGTCGTGTGAAATTTACATAATGTTTTGTTGAAGTTAATTTTTCTGGCTTGCCTTTTTGTTACTGCTACACCCCTCATCTCGTACGGTTTCCATTTTCTTGATTCTTTTCCATTTTTTTTTCTGAAACTCACTTAATGATTGACATACAATCTTTAGGATATTTTGTCTATGATATTGCCTCATTATTTTTTATCATTATTATAAAAGACATCGTCATCTACACTACCACCCTTAACATAGTCAACATCATTATCATTTTCATCATCATCTTCATTATCCAACCATCACACTAAAACATATTTTACCCTTCCGATGTTGATCTTGTCATCAAGTTTATTTATTCAATTTGGTTTTTCAGTTCAAGCTGTAAATACAATGTACAGTAATTCTCATGTGTTTTTCAGGAAAACCTTTATCTCATGGCACTGGAGTATCGAATCAATATCAGCTAAATGAAATACGCAAGAAAGTCATTGAGAGTATTGCTATCAAGAGTTCTGGTGGGCCGAGTGATGTAACTTGCATATGGGACTATGCAGGCCAACTTGATTATTACATTACTCACCGGGTAAGTGGTGAATTTATAAAACCCTGAATTCCAGAATTATCGCCTGTGATTGCTTGTGGATCGCCATGGCAGAGGCTTACAATTGAAGCACCGCCAAGCCATGCGATCTATGAATGCAGGAGTGAAGTAGCGGTTCAGATCAAAGTGAATATGCGGGCTATGGCTCTGAAAAGCCGTTAGTGACTTTCGTCAAAGAGTAGGAAAACTAATACTCTTTGGTTTGCAATAAACATTAAGTACAGCGTATGCAACCTTTATAATAGTTCAGTACGCAATCACGAATTCATGCAGTGCCGGGACAATTGTCATCATCATTATGCACGCAGGACTGAATGGATTAATAATTAATACTTAAATAGTTTGATGTAAAATACCGTGTGTACAGATGGAGTTCTCGTTCGCATTAAATTAATTATTATTTGAGTTTGCTCAAATAGTTTATTTAAGTTTTTAGAATTTAACTTTTGGATGTAATTAAGTAATACTTCCTTATCAATCTTTTCTTTCCAGTTTTTCATTACAGATGGATCGTCTTACGGAGTCGTTTTCAGTTTGTTAGATGCCTTGGATGAATTTGCTAAGCCAAGGGATCACAAAAAAGTACGTAAATCATTTAAATATTCCAGTAAATTTATGAAATACAATGCAAACTTTAATTACATACATCCAAATATTTTTAATGTATAAAGTTTTAATGAAAAAAAAAATCAAAATGCGTTAAAGTGGGGAAAAGCTATTCCAGAAATAATTAAAATTTAGAATTGTATATCCAAATCCCATTTTAGTAATAATTATGTTGATCGATATTGTTTATTTGCAGGGAAAGTATGAGATGACTAATCTCCAGACGATCATATTTTGGATAAGGTCGATATATGAATATGCTATACTGCTACATGGCTTAAAGGAGAAACCTTTGATCAATGGAATGATAGCATCTCCGACGATTAGTCTGATTGGGACGCACAAGGACCTACTCACGGGGAGTGATGCTGAGAAGCAGGCAAAGGTAATGTATTGTAGGTCTGTGAGTGTTTATACTATATATTTTGTTTCAAAATCCATTGATATTCTTTTACACCTACTATAAATTCTTCTATTCAAAGATTGATAACATGTTCGACAGAATATTTAAGGAACTCGAAGGAACCCCATACGAACGTCACGTAGATCGTGAGAGGTATGCCGTAGACAACACCACAGCACTGGATGAAGGGATTCAAAGACTGAAAAGAAACGTAGGCGGTTTCATGAAAGCAATGGCAAGAACTGTTCCAATAAATTGGATGGACTTCCAAATTGAGGTACAAGAAGCCGGGAAAACAACTCTGCGCATGTCCTTAGATAAGGTATTGTGTTATAGGTATAGGTATTTATTATAAGGAACTCTAGTAATAAATTAAAATATTTCTTCCAAGGCCGTAGGAAACGATTGGGCTACTCCGGAAGGCCGTATATGCTGCTCAAGTTTTCGGCCCAAAAATTCACAAATCAATATCGTTTGTGTGCCAAAATTGTAATTTTAACACAATGTAGTATTTTTTTTAAAACAAATAATATTTAATATAATAAAATAATAATAATAAAATAATAATAAAATAATGTAATATTATTACAGCATGCACACACACACACACACACACACACACACACACATATAAACGATATTTTAAAAGTACTGTAGGCCTGATACCGGTATATGAAATTGACTACCAAGCAAGCAAAAAGAAAAAAGATTTTTTTAAGTATTTGCAACTTTGTGGATTTTTCCAACAGGCCTTTCTAATTGAGAATTTCAGAAATTTGCAGTAATTCGCAGACCTGACTGCTTCTTGCAGATTCCTCTTTTTTTACCGTTAAATTTATGTATTTCTCTTATGTTCTAATAATTACCGCGAGATGATTTATTTCACGTATTATCTCTTATATATATATATATATATATATATATATATAAGAGATAATATATAATATATATAATATATAATATATATACACATATATATACATATAGGCCTATATATATACGGTATATATATATACGGTATATATATGTATATTATATATATAAATATTTATTTATTTAGGCTTATTTATTTATTTACTCTTTGAAAAAGTCTATATTTCGGAAATGGTAAACACCAGACTGTGCGCCATCAGCTAGGGAAACTAAAATCTTGACTTTCCGTAGTAAAATAATAGATAACATATAAATTCTCAGAGTGCCATTTCCTGGTATCAGGTGGTGCCTTTCTTTCAATCTTTTTTTTCACCTCAGCCCAAAAAATGTTAGGCTGAAGACTGGATATATATATCACTTTATTTCAAAATCACATAAAATTAATAACATATGGTGGCCAAATGCCAAATTGCATGTTATTTACAAAACAGATAAGATAATTACAATAATTATTATAATTTTTAAATATTTAAAATTCATAATGATAATATAAGAATACAATAATTTAACAAAAATTTATCAAAAATTTAACAATAATTTAAAAATAAGTTGACAATAATTTGATTTGACTTAATCAGCTGAATAATAGAAACAGAATGGGCATCTTACCAGTTCAAGCTTGCTGTTGGTTAATAAGTTTGATATAATAGGGAATTGGGCTACTAGAGAAACGTTTCGTTTTAGAATTGAGTTGGGTAATATTATCCTTATTACGTAGTTCCTACCGTGATTTTCAAAACGGGTAGGGTGGTCTCTTGACGAAAACTTTGATCAGGCGCCGCCAGTGGTAAATAACGCTGTCTGGAATGATGTTGGGTGAGGGGTTGGGTCGGGATTTTTCTCGTTGCCCGGACCAATGATATTTGCTTATAACTTGCCTGATTTCCGGTATGTTTTGCATTACCCTAATTTTACACTGATTGAAGCTAATTTATGTCAATATATTTGTAATTTTAATAATCGATTCTTTAAACTATGACTAAGCTTTTTTTGGTGTTATTGCGCAACCGATTTATATGTTCCTTATACTTTTTTAGATCACTAAGATCGCTGTGAAATGCGGTATTAATAAAGAAAACGTCATCCACGTCCTCAATTACCTTAATGATGTTGGAATTATTCTGTATTCGCCCACTAACAAGAAGTTGGAGAACACAGTGATTACTAACATCCATATGCTGATTGGTATCTTCATGAAAATCATCACAGTTGTGAAACCTGATGATGTTGACAAGGGAGTTTTAATTATTAAGTAAATGGTACAACAATGCTGGTGATGATATATATATATATATATATATAT